TTGAAGAACATAATTCGAATTTGGACAAAGTTCTTTCGAGAATCGCAAAAAGTGGACTTGCATTGAATTTACAAAAATCAAAACTTTGTGTGAAGAGTGTTAAAATTGTCGGACATATTATTGCAGATTCTGGAATAGCACCAGACAATGAAAAAACGCAAGCAATAAGAAAAATTTATACACCCAGAAATAAAAAGGACCTACAACGGTTTTTGAGTATGATAAGATACTTACCAAATCTGTCACAAGAAACAGGAATTTTAAGAAAACTTCTTAGCGACAAGATTGACTGGACTTGGACGCAGAATGAACAAAATAGTTTCGATCACTTAAAACAACCAATAGCGACTACTACTGTTTTATCGTACTTCGATCCATCAAAAGAAACCTTATCAGTTGATGCAAGTCCATATGGTTTAGGTGCAGTTATAGCTCAAGGCAATCACCCAATAGAGTATGCCTATGTCTCTCTTACACCTACCCCGCAGAAATGCAATCACATAGAAAAAGAATTACTGGCTATAGTGTATGGGTGTGAAAGATTTCACTACTATTTATTTGGAAGCAAATTTAAAATCCAAACAGATCATAGACCACTTTTAGGCTTACTGAAAAAACCAATAGATGATCTTTCTCCACGAATTCAACGTTTGGCTATAAGACTATTGAGGTATAATTTTGATCTAGTTTATATTCCTGGAAAACAAATGTTAGTTCCTGACGCTCTAAGTAGATACCCAAATTCTGATGTAATCAGAAATATAAAAATCATGCGCGTCTTAAGTTCTTGACTGGAGTTCCTTTCGTTCATGCGTTCAATTCGTTTCTCGACAAATAACTGAGCGGTTAAAGTGGTTTCTCTACCAGCTCATGATTTATTTATTTTAAGTTTTTAAGGCTTTAGTTTACTTTGATGATTCTATTTTTTAATGTACAGGGTGATTCACTATATTTTGACCCCCTTTAACTTTTTTGTTTTAAGAGTTATAAAAAAATGTGAAATGCAAAAATTGCACGATTTTTTATTAAGTTTTCGAAAATGATAGTAGAAAAACAAATGAAGTTCAAACAAAAAGGCCGCAGATGTTAACTTTCTTAATTTAAATGGAACACCCTGTATATTTTTACATATTTGGATAGAACGTTCCTTGTCGAACATAGTCATATAGGGTTTGTTGGGTCCATCTCTAATAATAGGCGAGATAATATTAAAAAACCTAATGATGTTTTTTTTATTAAGAAAATAAGACATCTTGTAATAATTGTTAGACCTCTTTCAGTCATTTCTGCCTTTTTTCCAACTACGTAAGGTTTAGATTTAGTTGTATTTTGACATATCGGACATTGATATATATATATATATATATATATATCAATATCTAAGGACGCTCTACGTTATATCCGAAATCTTGTCGTCACTCTCGTTTTCATGGAAAAACAATAGATAAAAATTGCTATTTTCTTCCATGGACTTGTACACTTCTAACGTTTAACTTTATCCAACATAGTATCAGGTAATTTATAAGTTGCGCAACACATTTTGCGTCTCATTGTCAAAATTGGTGACAGTATTTCAGGTGACATTGAATTACTTACACCTTTTCACATCGAGAGTTCGTTGCCCAAATATACAGATAGAAAACCAGTATAATAGATAGAAAGAGCAGGTTCTGAACTACAGTTTGCTATAGTATTCATTCTCCGGTAATCTATATTTCTGGTGTTTTCATTCCTACCTCTTTTTTCGGATGTTTCTCAAACATTTGAAAATATTTAGTGACAATAGAGTTATAATAATTTTTTTTCATGTCATATTCGTAAAGAACGGGTTTCAAATAATAAATCCATGTACTATATGCATACTAAGACACAACAGTTAGATGATTTCTCCAGGCTAGAAGAAAAAAAGTGGAGCCACCGTTTATAGACTAAAAATATTGAAATAAAATACATACAGGCAAATTCTTGCCGGGATCGATTCATACAAAATGTATGTCGCATTTCCGTTGGTTTTATATTGCTAAATATTTACCCAATTTGATTTAGTTGATTGGTTGTCCCATCAAATTTGTAAGAAAGCGCAAACTTCGACTACTAACTAAGCTCTACTCGCGATGATCCCACATAGTTTTCTTAAAGAAGGAATTATTTTTCCCTGTAAAATAGAACATAGAAGGAAAGTTAGAAGCTTTCGAACAAACTTTGTTTCATGCATTTTCATCAAGAAACGGAAGAGTAGTCAGTCGCACATTTAGTGCAGCGCCGCATTGAAATATGTACGTGATTCTCTGACTGTTTTGCATAAAAATCGTCATTTTATGTAAATCCCTAAATATCTCCTAAATAACAAACTGTACGATAAAATCAGCAGGAATCTTTTTCGTAAAATTCTCAATACTTTTCAAGTTATTCGCGAAATACGTTTTTTTGCAGTTTTCCGGCTATTTCCCGAAATATCAGTCCGCTCCGGTCCAGAATAATTTTTTTTATCTACATACTAGCAAAATACTAATCACATGCAAAGAATTGTGTACATTGGANTTGAAATATTATTAGGAATTAAAATAAACTATGGAGAATATCTTAACTACTCTATCTTAATTCCTATAATATTTAAATTTTCTACTTCTGTGTAACCCATTTTAAATAAATAATAATACAAACTGTCAAACAATAACAATGTTGTCATAATATTACCTGTCACTGTCACGGCCTACCATATAACATTGTCCATGAGTAAATAAGCCCCTCACGGACTAATTAGTGCAATTTAGTTAAAATACTTATACCCATTTTGAACTATATTAATGTTCGATATGTCAAAATATATTGCAAATAAATCTAAATCCTTACGTAATTGGAAAAAAGGCAGAAATGCCCGAAAAACGTCCAACAATTACAAAATATTTTATTTTTTCAATATAAAACGTTCCGTTTGTTTTTTAATATTATCTCGCTTATTGTTAGAGATGGACCCAACAAACCATATATGACTGTGCTCGACAGAGAACGTTCTATCCAAATGTGTAAAAATATACAGGGTCTTCCATTTAAATTAACAAAGTTAACATCCGCGGCCATTTTGTTTGAACTTCATTTGTTTTTCTACCATCATATTCGAAAATTTCATAAAAAATCGTGCAATTTTGTATTTCATATTTTTTTATCTCTTAAAACAAAAAAGTTAAAGGGGGGTTAAAATATAGTGAATCACCCTGTACCTAGTTATGTCTGTGTAGAAATTTTATTATAAGCAGATACCTAATGTTGAAGTGATAAATTAATAGGAAGAACGCTTCTGTATCTTTAAAGCAACTTTCGTTAGACTTTAGACATACCTCCGTACCCGATAAACCTCTTAAAAATATTTCATACCATTTCCGAGATATAGGGTGTTGTAGTTTTATTCAAATGCATCTGAGGATATTTCGTGCACACTATAAAACTAGTGCTAACAATGTATTAAAGATAAAAATCTAACGAATCCCAAAAAATACTCAAATCAGTCGCGTGGTTGTTGGAAGTCCCCTCAACTAGTAATCCCAGAATTAAAAAAATATTTTTCAGTTTATTTTTCCTTTTACCATGCATGAATCTTATTTCTAATCTCGCCACTTCTAAGTGCTGAGGCAAATTTAAATAAAATTAACACTAAAAAAAAAATTGTCTAAAAAATTACTTTTTTTGAAGAAAACCGAGGATATATTTTACACATGAAGAATTAAATTAAAATTATCTACTTAGCGCATAACATTAAAACTTGAAACCATTACTAAACTAAAGCTGAAGCCTTTTCTAGCAAAACAAACAGATTGCCACTTGTTAATTGACTGCAATATTTGCCTTTGCAACCCTCTTCAAATATACATTGTTTGTCCACTGTATACAGTGCACCCATAAAGTAAAGCATCATTTTGAAGAACAGGTGAAATTTATCTATATTTAGAGGATGCCGATTTGTGTTTATTACAAACGAATACACCTTAGGCCGATTGCAAACACAGCCATGCATGGTCGCCACTGGTGGCTGCTACACGCTGCGGACTGTATTTTGTATGTAGTTTAAATAGGTTCAGCGCAAACACAGCGTTGGCAGTGGCTCGATCCAGCCACGTTGTGGCAGAAGTCGTACCTCGCTGCTTGTAGCCGACGACAGTCACTCTTCTTTCAGCGCAAACACAATCCACAGCGTTTAACTGGTACATTTTCTGAAATTATGAGCACAGAAATGGTGGACAATATAGTCGAAGATGTATTTATATTCAAAATTAAAAAAAAATTCATGAAAAGTGGCGGCCACTAGTTAAAAAATTAACCGCACGTGGCGGCTATCTGTAGCGAATACTAGTAGTTGCTTCTAGCTACTTGTGGCGACCACACGTGGCTGTGTTTGCGATCGGTCTAACGGCCACTAATGGCGACCACAAGTGGCTGTGTTTGCGATCGGCCTTAAGTACATAATTCATGGTATACATACCACATCTGTAACTAAAAACTTATTTTCTTATTAAACAAGAAATAATTATCAGATGCCAGTTTCAACCTCATTTTTATAATTTTTGGTGATGCCATATTCTCCATGACTTGTAGTGTAATAAATTGTTTTTATTATTGTTAATGTCATTTGTAACTCACTCTACCGCAGAAGTCAGTGTTACCGCAACTTTAACATTATGGAATAGATTAGATAGATTAGATTAGATTAGAGAATTATTAACAGATTTTAAACTAGTAATAGAAACCGATAGTACATAATAAGTTAAAAAATTATCGAAAAGATAATTATCAATTTATCTTGGAATTACAAATAAAGAGAAATTATGTATTTACCTGTATTAACCATGTTAAGCAGTTAAAATTATCTATCTGTTCTCTGTTTAGCAAGTTATAAATTATACAGCTTACACATGCAATTAAAATGTAGTACATAAATACAAGATTTAAAATTCTAGGAATAATGTTAATTTTTTAATAATTACTAATAAAAATATATAACTTACTTTAATATTAATGTCAGCAGCATAACGAACAGTGGCACCAATTCCTGTGGTACAAAGTACTTTCAACATCATTCCTGACTGTTGCTTACTTACAATGGTTCCGAGAATTAAATCTCCTACTCTAACATTCTAAAAAAATCAAATGCATATTAAGGGGTACACATTTCTAAAATAGTAGACAAAGTAGAAAATTGGATAAATATCATTATATCAAATGTATTGTTTACTACCATGTTAAACAAGGTCACGAGAGGAAGGGAAACACCGTTAGAAGAAAAATATCTGAACTTCGGTTTGGCTTCATAGCAAACTTACTCTTGTAAAAAGATTTTTTTAACTTTATTAGAGTTAATAAAGTTATTTTACTATGTATTGCAACGGCTATGGGATGTTTTCTAGGAAATTAATGAATTTTATAAAATTTGATAGTTTTAAATAGAGCTTTACAGGAATAAAACACTTAAAAGTAGAGTGCACGAACAAATTTAGGACAAACTTTCTGGGCTGATTTCTTTTGTGATAAATAAATAAAAATTCACGTTATCGATTTTTTAAAGTGAAATCTAACCATTTTCAAAAATTATAAAAACCATTGAACATGTAAATTTCAATTTTGGTGAAGTCCAGTTCCCATATGGTAACTACATTCATGCAAAATTTAAATAACTGATCAGTGACGTTTAAATTAGAAAATGTCAAGTTATTTGACATTAAAGAGAAAACTTATTCGACATTAAACAGAATCTTCATTTAGATATTTGGATAGACCATTTTCAATCAAAATTTTTGTGTCTGTTTAATTTTTTTGAAGGATTGTAGAGGCTTTTGGAATTGTTTCAAGAAAAATTGCTACTTTTGTTTGCTTTCAGCTCTGAAAGTTGGTCATAATCGTTGCGACTCTTTGTACAGGCAGTAAAAAGAACAAAAAAATATTGTAGGTTTCTTAATAAACATATGGCCTAAATGATTTTGAAAAAAATTATAACCTTCCAAAGGAGGCACAAAGAACTTAACTTTTTTCAAATAAGTACATATTTCCAATAAAGTAGTGATGCAATGACTGTTAGTTTTATAACTACAAAAGTTCCAATTACATAAGTATTTAATATTTACTTGCAATATATTTTGACATGTCATACATTGATATGGTCCAAAATTCGTATAGGTATTTTAATGAAATCTCACTAATTAGGCCCTGTGAGGCCTAATTACTCATGGACAATATTATATGGTAGGCCGTAACAGTGAAAGGTAGTGTCAGGACAACATTGTTATTGTTTGACAGCTTGTATTATTATTTAATTAAAATGGGTTACACACAAGTGGAAAATTGAAATATTATAGGAATTAAAATAGAGTAAAGTTCCTCTCCATACTCTATTTTAATTCCTAATAATATATCAATTTTTTGTCTGATTTTCTTAATAAAAACCTCTTCGTTTTTTTTTCAAGTATCTCGCTTATTGTTAGAGACGGAGCCAACAAACCCTATATGACTATGCTCGATATGGAATGTCCTGTCCAAATATAAAAAAAATATACAGGGTGTTTCATTTAAATTAACAAAGTTAACATCCGCGGCCAGTTTGTTTGGACTTCATTTGTTTTTCTATCATTTCAAAAAACCGTACAACTTTTTTATTTCACGTATTTTATAACTCTAAGGCTCGGTACTTTCAGTCTCGGTTAAAGCTTGATTAACTGATCAGGCAATTAGACTGTACATATACTAATTTATTTTATATAGTATATTCAGTCTAATCGACTGATTAATTAATCAAGCCTTAACCCTTTCGCTGAACGTAGCTACCGCGACGTGCGCGAAAGTTTATCGCGTGCGAATATATATGTCTGGAGCAGTTAGACCACTTATAGTTTTACATTATGTTGTGTTAAATTACGATTTACGATAAATTTTACGATTTTATTTTGAATAAAACACAGTATATGTACTAAATAGAAACTGAAAGAAACATGAACAATCTTGGTACTATTACCAGTACCTCTTTCCATAAAAATATTTGTCACAATCGGTATAAGCTCGCCCGCAAAAATTCGCCTTACCAATTGCAATAACTGAGTCACTAATGCGCATGGTTGCGAATATATACGGTTTGAGCAGCCTGATCCAATTTAACTATTCATGTGAATTAATCCGTCTGGAGCAGTTTGAGCCCTATAATTTTTTAGCGAATATATACGTCTGGAGCAGTGAAAGGGTTAACCGAGACTTAAAGTACTGGGCCTAAAAACAAAAAAGTTAAAAGGGGGGTTAAAATATACTGAATCACATTGTACTGGTGCCACAGTACTTGTTACGAATTTTCGCGCAGGTCTCCGCAAACATACAGGCAAGTCAACGATTGATCATGCTAATAACGACCAAACATGATTAATAATAAAAAAAATTATAACTGCCAATTACGGTTAATCACAATCACTGTATCACTACAATAAAAGCACAAAAATAATGCATTTAACTTTTTAAGGTTTATTTCCACACCTTATGACAAGTCATGGATCATACTTAGTTTGTGTATTTCTGTATATTCCGCGGTCGAAATTATAGAGAGTGACTCATCGCTAACTTTTGGACTAGTAAGGAGGATGAAACGTGCGGGGAACGAAAATCCATTGGTGTGTCTGCATAAAAGGCAAAAAGATATAGAAAATATGGAAAAAAGATAAAACTTAACATCTAATATTTTTGACGGTTTGCTACAGCCGACACTTTGATCCATTTTGATTATTACAACGATTTAAAACGTCCCGGTTGTGTTTTTTTAATTTATAAATTTATTATAGCCACGGAATTAGACCCCTCGCTTATGCTATGGCGTTTCTAAGGAGGGCTAAATCAAGTCCGTTTACACCCACTAAAAAAGCATTTCCTTATTCCCTACCAAGTGCAAAAGACAGAGATAGAATATAGATCGACATTCAGTGTAACTTAAGTCTATAGGCGATTATAGATTCTATTGATGGGCGTAGAGAGCGGCACATCATTTAATACAAGACAAATAATATTGAACCATTATAAAAATTATTTTATGTTTTATACGCGTTATGGTAATAGTGTTATTATATTATGTCCGAGTCACTCTCTATAATTTCGACAGCGAAGTATAAGTACTTTATAAAGTTAATTATTTCAAAGTTTAATTAAAATTTTACTACGAAGCTTAAAATTGTATATTACATCAATTACAAACCTTGGTAAAAAACAGTAATCTTTTCTGCTTATCTGCATTGGTGTAAGTTTCAAATGGAGGCATAATTGCATACATATCTTCAGTAATAGTATTTTCTTGAAATGCATGCTTAACAGATATAGATTCTAGTGAGAAAATAGAATTAGACTTTTTTATCAAAAACTGCTGGAACTTTAATCTCTTTCCACGATCCTGAAATGACAAATTTTTTTGTCTTTGGCCGTAAACATGAAAATTTAAATCCTTAATATTTCGTCGAACAAGATCATTTTCACCAAATTCACTTTCCCATAATTTCTGAAGTTGTTGGCCGTGAAAATTTAATGATTTAGTGAGCAGTTGGCTATTTATTAATTCCATTTCCAAAATGGCAGAAACAAAACCTGAAATTAAAAAAAAATACAATATAACCAATAATAAATATTCTCAATTTAATCATGTATTACAGGGTGTTGCATAAGTGTGTACAACAAATATAGGATCGCATTCCTTGGAAAATTTTAAGGGGTCTTTAAACCTCTTGAACGTTTATGAAATATACAATTGTCATGAGCAAAGTCAATGAATAGTGATTATGACGGATTTATACGCTGCAAAATAATTTGTGCACATCCCACTTTTCCATTTACCTGTAACACAGGAATCCAAATTCCTTCCATACATACTGATGGTATTGATTATATTTGTTTTGTTTTTATTTTCTTAGAATACCGGGTGACTACGAGATTACTACCCAGGCTCTAGCTTAGTCACGAAAAAAGATATCGATCTCAAATTTTGGGCATGCGTATCATTGAATTTGATGCAAAATTTAATCATAAAAAGAACTGACTGTCACTTCCTGTTTGACCGGAAATGCCCTAAACTTTGTTATTTCATATGGAACACCCTGTATATTATTTTTGTTTTCAATTCTGCTGAAGAAACTAACACTAAAATATGTATTATGTCCTATACCTATCTTTGACAGTTTCCGAGAAAATCGCATTTTAAAATGTCAAATGTGTCATTTATAAATTCCTTTTGAAAGAAAACAAACGAAGAAAGGGACAAAGTCATATGGTATCTTTAACTTATTTTAGAAGTACTAAAGTCTGATATCATAAAAGTGTCGCACTTCCGGCACATCCGGAAAATACCGGAAGTCATCTTTAATAGCAAGTAACTGCAATAATTTTTATGGAATGCCCTACAACTAATTGAGAATTCGTATTCTACAAGCAATTTCGAATCATTTTTATGTACACTTCCCTATACCCAAAGTTCGGAGTTTTTGAGATATTAAATGTTTAATGTAAAAATGTCATCTGAACGATGCATAAATGGAAAACGAAATAATCAGTCAATGCATAGATCAGAGGTGCCTAGGAATCTTAATTTTAATATGGTTGCTATGACAGGCTTTTGTTTTTAGACGCCATATCTTCATAATTACTTAAGATTCCTAGGCACTTCTGATCTATGCATTGACTGATTATATCGTTTTCCATTTATGCATCGTTCAGATGACATTTTGACATTAAACATTTAATATCTCAAAAACTCCGAACTTTGGGTATAGGGAAGTGTACATAAAAATGATTCGAAATTGCTTGTAGAATATGAATTCTCAATTAGTTGTAGGGCATTCCATTAAAATTATTGCAGTTACTTGCTATTAAAGATGACTTCCGGTATTTTCCGGAGGTGCCGGAAGTGCGACATTTTTATGATATCATACTTTAGTACTTCTAAAATAAGTTAAAGATATCATATGACTTTGTCCCTTTCTTCATTTGTTTTCTTTCAAAAGGATTTTATAAATGACATATTTGACATTTTAAAGCGCGATTTTCTCGGAAACTGTCAAAGATAGGTATAGGACATAATACATATTTTAGTGTTAGTTTCTTCAGCAGAATTGAAAACAAAAATAATATACAGGGTGTTCCATATGAAATAACAAAGTTTAGGGCATTTCCGGTCAAACAGGAAGTGACGGTCAGTTGTTTTTATTATTAAATTTTGCATTAAATTCAATGATACGCATGCCCAAAATTTGAAATCGATATCTTTTTTCGTGACTAAGCTAGAGCCTGGGTAGTAATCTCGTGGTCACCCGGTATAAATACAGTATACTGTTTGTGACGACCAAAATCTATGGTAAACTGAATATGACGTATATATACGCTAGCGCTAAAAGGCATCAAGCCAGAGAGGAGTGCACTTCTCACACCGGATCAAGGCGTTCAAGAGGTTAATATACATTTTTTTTTAAGTTTTTCTCAAAAACTGCTGAATATAAGCAAACCAAGTAACCACCCCTTTAATGTTTTTTTTTATAAACTTGTTTATTCATTTAGACTTCTTAAGCGAAATAATATTTTAAGAATTTTTTTAGAACGTTGCAAAATACGGTACTGAGCTTTTGTGTAGTATATGCAATGATGCATTTTATTTACGGTAATTATTTGAAATTACATATTTTTGTATATATTTTCTCTTTCTTCAAATTATCAGTTAGGTAAACATGTAAAAACGGTAAGTACTTCAAATGGTCGATGATGTTTTCAAATCAAACATGTACCATTTTTTTTGTCATTCAAATTTATAGCTTTCAAATATGGACTAATTCCTCCTGCCTCACCGTAAATAAAATGCATCATTGCATATTCTTGAATCAGAATGATGATTATTCCCTACAATTAATTACAGTAAGATACTGACATGTACTACATTTAAACTTGATTACCAAAAAGTGTTTTAGTGACAGCAACCTACTACGAATAAATTATACAAACAAAAGCTCAGAATAGAGGTTCATACCATATTTTGCAATATTCTAAAAACATATTTTTTCTCAAAAACTAATGAGCAATACAACATTTTTCTAAGAGACAAAAAGTTTCTAAATAAACAAAATTGTAAAATATTACTTCACTTATGAAATCTAAAAGAACGAAAAGTGGTTTGTAAAAAATACATGAAATGGGTGGTTTACTTCACCTCCTTATAGCAAATCAGGAAACTGGAAAATATGCTAGTAAAATATGATTAGTACTATAAACATACCAAATTTAGTTATTAATACAGGATCCTAATCTAGCCATTGCTACACTAATACGCAAAATAGAGGATTGTATAAATGAATTTAAAGTAAAAAAAAAATAATAGGAATAAAAAAGAAAAAATTGGATAACAAATGCCATCTCGTGATACCAAAGAAATGCTTTATAATATTTATATATATATGTTATATACGAAAATTATCTAAGAATATTAGATATCAAGCAATATGACACCACAGATAACACCTTCCTCGAAAGAAAGCAATCTCATGTAAAGCACAAGAACAGCAGATTCTAAGAATGCTTGTACTTGCGTTAGCATAAGAAAACTTATAAATATAACTAAAAAACTTAGTTAGCTCAGTTCACAGTAAAATTCAGTTGTTTTAAGTCTTCAACGCTGTAACTCATAAGTTGTAATTTTAAGTGAAAAATAAAAATTTTTAAAAAGTAAAAAGTGATCTGAGTGATCTAAAAATTGGCGCAGTCGGCAAGGATTCGTCAACGGTACCAGAACAAGAAAAATCTAACTGGTAGCGGCGGATTCCAATCCCTCAACGAAAGAACCTCAA